CTTAGGACTATGCCCTTTTTCCAGACACACCCATTTAAAAAAGGGAGGAACACACTATATCACCACATTGTATCACCAAGTGTGTTGCTTAAATTCCCACTAAACTACTGAATCATTTTCAGACACCCACATAATTCCGGGTGCACAGCCACACCCAAATGCCACCTAGGCGTTGGTGCCGTTCGAAGAGACAAATGGAGGCATTGGGTAAACTGGTGGCCAAACGCCAGGCGGTGTACACCTCAGCAACGGCTCAGGATAGATTTGGAAAGTCATGGTTGCCATATGTTGCCATCAATTCTGGAGATCCTGGCTGGATTTTGCTCAAAACGTGTTTTTCTTTTGGAGTTGTGCCATCCTTCACCGAATTGAAAACGGGGATTCTCCAGGAAATATCCATTCAAGGAGCTGGTAAATACTCTAGCTAAAATATTTAAAAAAACAATGTGCTGTGTAGATGTTTCCAGAAACGGCCCATGGCTCAGAACACCGGATGCCACCAAGAGACTCCTCCTGGGCCACCCCCCACAATTGCATGGCTGCATTCGCTCGCCGCGATCAGCGGCACAGCAACGGCAGCCAGCAACGACAGCAGCGACATAGCCATGGCAACTCAGAAGAAACAGAACCTCAGAATGAGCCTATCATCTATGAGTTGATTTTTTCGGCTAAAGATTGAAGATGTTCTATTGATCAAGGGCATTTTGAAAGCATGACTGAAGACACAGGAAGCTGTAAAATGATGCGGTTGCGGCAACGGGCATGGCACAACATCAACTCAAACAGTGAATGATACTGATTGGTCAAGAGGGATTTCCATAGTGGGTGATGAGAATACGCATGATGCCAAGCAGTACAATCCCACATTGCTATCTCCCCACAGGGTCGAATTGGTTATTGCAGTTCAGATTTTTGAGAATATTGCGCCCTGGCCAAGGCAGATTGAAAGCTGTGGGCTGAGCAACTTTGCCACCATTAGGTAGAAACCATCTGATTGGTGGGTTGAACTCCTCATCCCGGCTTTAGGAATTGAAGGGAAAAACTTTGCACCGCCCGAACATGTGTGGAAATCCGACAAATACTGGTGATACTGTTGATCCCACCGTAGTAAAAGGCCATTTCCAGATAAATCCCTACTCGACGGCACCACTTCCATATGAAGTTCCTCATTTGTTTCAAAAAATGAATTTGGAAGGATTGAAGGGAAAGGGTACAACCCATGGTTTCCATTAGTTTCATGTCAAGGAAGATCCATCTATTTCTTCCATCGAAGCTGGCCTCTTGCCACCGCGCTTGGCTCGCGGTCGATCTTCCGGAGGCGGCAGGGTCTTCTTCTGCTTGGCTGGTGGAGGCCTCAATGCAACCAAGATACAGCCGGAACCATGGGGATGTTGCCAAGAAGAATCGCTATTTAACCCACAAAAATTGGATTTTGACGCACATAAATACGATTTATCTCACAGACATAGGGATTTAGCTTAGAAAGATAGGGATTTAGCCACCAGGAAGTAGCGGAAAGATGGGATTCAATATGATTCAATGATATAATGGAGATATACTCAAGATTCAATCAACCATTTTCTGGTGGTATTGAATGGAGTTATTACGAACAATCTGATGAATGAATGGAATCTGTTGGGGCCTTGACTACAAATGATTGGTCATTTTGAGGATCTGAAACCCTCCTTTTTCGGTGGGAATTTGATGCCATTCCCACATTAATCATATGGGCGCCATTAAGGACCAGCAAGTTTCCATCTGAACCCTTTGTACTGGTTGATTGATAAGGATTCCCCTAATGGATTGTGAGATTTTCGTGTATTTTCCATTATTTTCCATTCAATTGGATCGTGTAGCCCCATAGAATCAACCAACAGAGGTTTTGAACACTGCTCATTTGGCTGAATCGAAAACATGATAGATGTGTTTTATAGAGTTGCAAGCCCAGCATGAGTCCCGTTGAGGCCGGCCCTCTTTGTAGGGGAGGCTACCGTTGATGTCGCATAGTGATGGGTTGTTGGCAGGTTGGGCCAACCTTTTGGGATTGAAGGACTGTTTTTTCCCCCCGAGATAGCCATGTCTGACAGTATGATGTTAACAGAAATGATCTGATCTCCAAAAAATGCAAGTATTCAAACCCTCCAAGTTTTCATTGATTGTTTGATGATTTTCACAATTTGTTAGGTGCCAAGCAAGCCCCAACCATGGTTCCCTTTCGACCTGTGCTGCCACACTCCTGCGCCTTGGCCAAAGATTGTAGGATCTTCTCTCGAAGCTGCGTGCCTTGGGGGTAGAAAGCCAATCAGAGTGGGGAATATAGAACACAATGTGCATGTATATATATATATAATGGGATACATCAATGGGAATTATCGAGGGAAGTTTCGAAGTCAAACTTCCGACAATATGGACAGATGGAAAAGCAGAGGTGGGAAGAGTCAGAGAAGAGAAGCAAAGAAGAGAGAAGATCAGAGAAGAGAAAGAGTCAAAGAAAGACGATGCAGGTGCGCGAAAAGGTAGAAAAGTCGCGAACACTCTGTATTCCCAATGATTTGTGGTTCCAGAGGGTCGAAAAGTAGGTTCGCTAAAGCGACGGGTGCGGAGCCATCTCGGGAGATGAGAGATGAAAAATTGCGGGCCGTTGTGGCGCGAAGCACGTTTGGAAGTCAAAATGCTAAAAACACTTCATGCTCGAGCACTTTTGGAAGTTCAGATGTCGAAAAAGTGCGCGCCGTTGCGGCGCAAAACGCATTTCCAAGTCAAAATGTACATCACACACCAGCTTCGGAGGACTTTTGGAAGTTGAGATGCGCAAAACGTGCACGCCGTTGTTTTCGAAGCCAAAAGTGTAAGAAGATGGTGGTCTCGGAGCGCTTTTTGAGGTTAGGATGTGGTTTTGCGTGGCAGGCGCAAGGGATTCTGCACCTTCCTAAAAGGGAGCAAAACGCGATGGTTTTGTAGCAGTCTCAAAAACATTGGCAAGCATGGGACATTTGAAGAGGATCTGCTTAGATGCATTTCGCGTGGCAGGCACAATACAAGAGACATGTTCATCAGAGATGTTAGGTCCCGCCACTGATTCCTGAGAGGGGTTGCATTTGGTGCATCAGATCGTTAGGTTTGCCAAGATGATTTTGCGTGACAGGTGCAACACTTCGTATGACCTGGCCTCACTTTTTCGTGGAAGGCGCACTACTTTAGACAGATGAAGTGAAAAAATGCAACAAAAGGTATTGGTACGAGGTCGTCAGCTCTGCACTCCACTTTCCATGGCAGGAAGTCTCGCAGAATTGCTTCGTTTTTGATGCTGTCAACTTTGAAAGTTGAGGAAGTCTCGCAGAATTGCTGCGTTTTTGGTGTTGTCAAGTGCAAAAATTGAAGAAGTTTCGCAGGACTGCTTCGTTTTCAAGCTTGCAGCTAGACAGCTAGACAGGTAGATAGACAGACAGACAGATAGATAGATAGATAGACAGATAGACAGACAGACAGATAGATAGAGAGATAGATAGATAGATAGGATAGGATAGGATAGGATAGGATAGGATAGGATTAGATTAGATTAGATTAGATAGATAGATAGATAGGAAGATGCATAAATAGACAGCTACATAAATAGACATTTACAACTACAACTACAACTACACGACAATACGACTACAACTACAACTAGACAAGCATGTACAAATTTACTACCCTACATTACACTACACTAATTACCTTACACTTCACTGATTACACTACACTACACTAATTACATTACACTTCATTGATTTTCACTACACTTTACTAATTGCAGTACATTACACTAATTACACTACAACTACAACTCCAACCACAACTACAACTACAACTTCAACAACAGCAACAACAGCAACAACACGACAACAACAACAACAACTACTACTACTACAACTACTACTACTACTACTACTACCACTACCACCACCACCACCACTACCACTACCACTATCACTATCACTACCACTACCACTACCGCTACTGCTACTGCTACTACTGCTACTGCTACTGCTACTACTGCTACTGCTACTGCTACTGCTGCTACTGCTACTGCTACTACTGCTACCACTACTACCACTACTACCACTACAACTACTACTACTACTACTACTCCTCCTGCTGCTGCTGCTGCTGCTACTGCTACTGCTACTGCTACTGCTACTGCTACTGCTACTGCTACTGCTACTGCTACTGCTACTGCTTCTACTGCTGCTACTACTACTACTGCTGCTGCTGCTGCTGCTACTACTCTTACTGCTACTGCTACTGCTACTGCTACTGCTACTACTACTACTACTACTACGACTACGACGACGACGACGACGACTACTACTACTACAGCTAACACTTCAACTACAACTACACTACATTACACAACACTACACTACACTAATTACACTACAACTACCGCTTCAACTGCAACTACAACTTCAAGTACAAGTACAAGTACAACACACTACACTTACTTCACTAATTACAACACCACAACTACAACTACAACGACAGCTTCAACTATAACTACTCGACTTCACACTATACTACGCAAAACTACACTACACTAGGCTACACTATTTACAGTACACAACACTACAGTACACTACACTAATTACATTACACTTCACTGATTACACCACACTACAACTACAACTGCAACTGCAACTACAACTACACTACGCTAATTACACTACACTACGACTAACACTCCACTACACTACAACTACAATTGCACTAGACCACACTACATCCAGCAGTTGTAGGTGAGGTAACCACTGCAACCATTGCAACCACTCCAGAAAACACAACTCCAACCACCTTTCGGTCCATCAGTGGATTTGCTCTGCCATCCGCGATGCACAACAACCAACCTCTCCTATAACAGGTTTCCTATTTTTGAAACTTCCGCCACCGCCTTGTGCGGTACTACTGGTATATTATAACAGGAATTTGGGGAATATAATGGGATATATATATAATATATATATACATATGTTTAGAATGTTGTAGATGGGTATGGGTCAAAAAAATTGGAGTACCTCCTAATTCAAGATATTCAAGTGCGCGCAAAACTTTGTTTATTTTTTGGATCTGATACCAGCCATTTTCAGGTGATAATTTTGACCTCTCCACAACACCAGCTGAGAAACCGCGGTCATGTACAATGGATCTGCTCAGAGTCCCTCCATGAGTGAGGGCCGTTAGCAAACTGTGATCCAGTGGCGGGATTACAACACCAAAAACATGTGTTTTTTGATGATGTGCTGATGTCGGAGAATGGACCCCAAAATCATTCTTGGTCTTGGTCATTTTCTCGGAAACACTGGTTTGGGGGTTCCCTTATTTTAGCCTTCCATCTTTTCAAACGCCTCGTGCTTGGGGCCCGCACCCACCTGTCCTAGTGGCGACTCGTGGAAGGAGTCCACGCCTGCCATCTTCAACACCAAGAATTACCAGATGGATCATATGGATGGTTTATATGATACCATGTGGATAATATGGATGGCTTATGATTGCCAACAAGTAAATCACCATTCTTGTATCAAGCCCCCAAAAATGGATAATGTGGATCGTCTACAATATATAACTGACTCGTCTGTACCCCTGTGCCACCGCACGCGCTGCCAGGCCACACTTTCCAGCCACCAGTTTCACCTTCTATTCGCTCGGGTTTCCCCAAAATGGGGATGTAGTGTAATAGGGAATTAATTGAATTAATGGTGATGTAATGGGGATGTAATAGGGATTCTACTGGGATATTATGATTTCAGTGTCTCTGACAATGGAGTGTGGGCCCTACGCAGATTGCAATCATCTTTTCAATAGGGCGGGAAAATGATGATGATGAACCATGAATATGCGGTACCCAATTTTCAGACAAACCCAGTTCTACTAAGCACCTCAGTCAATTTTGTCGCCACTCCACCTTCCAAGGTTGACGATGTACATCTAAACAGTCTTGAAGCTGTTATCCTACATGCAAACTGTCAGGTAGCAAAGTAAGATTCATTGAAACATGGAAGACATACTCCCAAAGCCTTACTGCCTATGTCTTCCTTCCATCTTGACCCTGGGCCCTCGAACAGCTCGGTTGCGGAACTCCATGGGAGTACTCACAATGAGGTCGCTCCTGAGGAGACTGTCCCAATCAAACCGAGGCTATTTTGAAAGGGCTCGGAGGTCTACCTTTCCAATAAAAGCTTTTGGGAAAAAGAATTATCTCTCTGAAAGTTCAGTGGTTAGGTGCAATCCATGATCACATCTCTGTCTATGAAGGCGAGGGCGGAATGGGGCGGAATGTCGCCGTCCAAAAGTTCTGCACTGCGCGTCTCATGTGTTTGCGCCACAAATTCTGGCAAATGACCTGTTCCATTTCTTGACCTTCACAAGACAAGAACTGTGGACATGTGAGGACTCCAAGGCCCCCGGACAAGAAAATGATACCTTGTGTACTGTATGCTCCTGAGCCCATACCTGCCATTTCAGTTGGGATATGTTGGGATGCGGACCCAACGGCGGCAGCTTTGGAGGATAGCTGCCATAAATTCTGTACCGGAATGGACCACGAATCAATGGCTGGTGAGTTTCTCGATGTATTCAACTATCCAACTTTGGGAGTCAAGAATTCTGAGATAAACCCAGACAACAGTAAAGCACCTCAGTAGCTATTTGTGCAGTTGAGGTGCCCAGTCAAGCCGTCTTAGCTTGTCACTGAATCATGTTTTGCAGCTACCACTCATCCAATTCAGAAGTGATACTTCCCCTACAATTGAAAAACGCAACACCTCCCTATCCTCCCTCACATTTGCAGCTGACCCCATTCGCCATGGCCAAGCTGGCGCCTAACAGAGACTTCTTTTGCGAGCCCACCAGGATGATGTTTTGCGCTGGCATGCGGGCCTCACCCGGAGCTGGAAAATATATGGCTAATCTCTAGTACTAGTGTCATATCATTATTACAATGATTACCGTTCTACCATTGAATCATTTTTATGTTGTTATTATTATCATCACTGTTATTATCATTACCATTAATTACTATTACTATCATTATTACTGTTGCTAATATTATTGCTATGATGTTTACTATGAATCTTGGAAAATCTGCCTTGGTTCCAGCACAGCTCTGGCGCAGCTTCCAAGTGCCCGGCCAAGTTGAGAAGACCGCCCGCCGCAGTAATCAGCTTGGCCTCGAATGCCGAGGGGTGATCCAAACTGGTCGAATTTTAAGGATGCTTCATACAAGCCATTTCGAAAAGGGAGATTGTTCATTGGGTTTCCCACATCACCCAAAAATCTACAAACCTATAGTTAAATAAAAAAGGTTTCCTGGTCACCCTTCAATAAGGTACGTGGCTTACTGGGAAATCCACCATTTAGTTCGATGATGAACACCCAGCTATAAACCTCCAGATCGTTCGGCAATTTCCCCAGCCACGTTCGCAAAAACCACATTTCAGAGCGAAATATATTTGTATATCTGTATATGTCTAATTATATATATATATATACATATCACCACTATATCCCCATGAATCCCCCTATTCTATCACCATATTTGCCGGCTAACTCCCCATTAAAATACCCATGTACACGGCCACCCCGGTGCCAATGGCTTGAGATACCCACGGCCAGCGCAGCACCCAGCAAGGCTGACAAGTTTGGCGCAAGGCCGGACCTGGGATCAGCTGGGAATCCATACATCATCATGACATATCTATATTATATATATATATATATAAATACGTATAAATACATATACATCATCCAAGAATATCATCAATATATCATCAACCTGACTAAATTCCTTTGAAAATACTGACAGAAAGTCCTTTTGAAATGGTAATGTACTTCCCATCAACTGTCTGACTTTGGCTCCGACATTCGACTCTCCAAGTACAGCAGGACGTCTCGCTTGCAGTCATTGAGCAAGAAAGCTTCGTCCTAAAGAGCGTTTGGCAACTTCTACTATCCAAAAAAATCGGACAAGACAACTGAACCGATACTAATTGTACATGCTAAAAAAACTATGAAATATGAATGACCTACCATTTGATGATGGGACAACTGAGCGGATAGTAAATAGTTTATGTAATAAATTGTAATACATATTCACTACAACGCTCTTGGGCAACTGGATTCTACAAATTCACTATGCTGTGCAAGGTCACGGGCTGTCTTGTAAGACCTTTGGGACTTTGGGACCATCCAGGTGAGAGGCGCCCACAAAAGATGAAAGGCTCAGAGTAACTCAGAGTAACTCACCTTCAAAACCACAAGGACTAAGAGTTCATCTTTCTTGGGAACCCAAAAATATAGAGAGACCCCCAGGAATTAAAGGACCGGAAAACCCAACAAGGCAACTTCTTCCAATAATGAGCACCAGATGTTGTAGCGGGGACGGGGAAGGAAGGAAACACAAGGAAGGTGGTGGAGGATCAAGAAGTAAAACAAAGTTGTGGGTGGCAAAGTTGTATGTGAAAGATGGTGCGTGACAAAGAAAGATGGTGTGTGATGTGTGTGTGTGACAAAGTTGTGTGTGAAAGAGGGTGTGTCAAAGATGGTGTGTCAAAGATGGTGGGTGACAATGTGGTGTGCGAAAGAAGGTGTGTGACAAAGCGGTGTGTAAAAGATGGTATGGCGAAAGATGGTTTGTGACAAAGTTGTGTGTGTGTGTGAAAGATGGTGTGGTGAAAGATGGTGTGCGACAAAGTTGTGTGTGTGAAAGATGGTGTGGTGAAAGATGGTGAGAGACAAAGTGGCGTGTGAAAAAGGGTGTGAGAAAAAATGGTGTGTGAAAGATGGTGTGGCGAAAGATGGTGTGTGAAGGATGGTGCGTGTGAAAGATGGTGTGTCAAAGATGGTGTGTGAAAGATGGTGTGTGAAAGATGGTGTGTGACAAAGTTGTGTGTGAAAGATGGTGTGTGACAAAGTGGTGTGTGAAAGATGGTCTGTGACGGTGTGTGAAAGATGGTGTGTGAAAAAGTGGCGTGAAAAATGGTGTCAACGATGGTGTGTGAAAGATGGTGTGTGACAAGGTGGTGTGTGAAAGATGGTGTGTGAAAGAGGGTGTGTCAAAGATGGTGTGTGAAAGATGGTGTGCCAAACATGGTGTGTGAAAGATGGTGTGTGACAAAGTTGGGTGTCAAAGATGGTGTGTAAAAGTTGGGAGCCAAAGATGGTGTGTAAGAGATGGTGTGTGAAAGTGGTGTGTGAAAGATGGTATGTGTCAAAGTGGTGTGTCAAAGATGGTGTGTGACAAAGTGGTGCGTGAAAGATGGTGTGTGACAATGTGGTGTGTGAAAGATGGTATGGCGAAAGATGGTGTGTGAAAGATGGTGTGTGTGAAAGATGGTGTGGTGAAAGATGGTGTGACAAAGTGGTGTGTGAAGGATGATGTGGTGAAAGATGGTGTGAAACAAGGTGATGTGTGAAAGATGGCCTGTGACGGTGTGTGAAAGATGGTGTGTGACAAACTGTTGTGAAAGATGGTGTGTCAAAGATGGTGTGACAAAGTGATGTGTGAAAGATGGTGTGTGACAAAGTGGTGCCAAAGATGGTGTGTCAAAGAGGGTGGGTGACAAAGTGGTGTGTGAAAGATGGTGTGTGACAAAGATGGTATGTGACAAAGTTGTGTGCGAAAAATGGTGTGTCAAAGATGGTGGGTGACAAAGTGGTGTGTGAAAGATGGTGTCTGACAAAGCGGTGCGTGAAAGATGGTGTGTGAAAGATAGTGTGTGACAGATGGTGCGTGTGAAAGATGGTGTGTGACAAAGATGGTGTGTGAAAGAGGGTTTCTCAAAGATGGTGTGTCAAAGATGGTGGGTGACAATGTGGTGTGCGAAAGAAGGTGTGCCAAAGATGGTGTGTGACAAAGTTGGGTGTGAAAGAGGGTGTGTGAAAGATAGTGTGTGAAAGATGTTGTGTGACACAGATGGTGTGTGACAAAGATAGTGTGTGAAAGATGTTGTGTGACAAAGATGGTGTGTGACAAAAATAGGGCGTGTGACACCAGAGGTAGCCCAGTGCCACAAGTGACACGCCTGCCACGCAAAACTAAGGTGGATTTAACCAAGTGCCACGCCTGCCACGCGAAACGAAGGTGGATGTCACCAAGTGCCACGCCTGCCACGCAAAGTGCCACGGCGTCACGGGCGACCAAAACCGGCCCAAGCGCGCCACCAGAGGTAGCCCAGTGCCACAAGTGACACGCCTGCCACGCAAAACGAAGGTGGATGTGACCAAGTGCCACGCCTGCCACGCGAAACGAAGGTGGATGTCACCAAGTGCCACGCCTGCCACGCAAAGTGCCGCGGCGTCACCGGCGACCAAAACCGGCCCAAGCACGCCACCAGAGCCAGCTCAGTGCCACAAGTGCCACGCCTGCCACGCAAAACGAAGGTGGATGTGACCAAGTGCCACGCCTGCCACGCGAAACGAAGGTGGATGTCACCAAGGGCCACGCCTGCCACGCAAAGTGCCGCGGTGTCACCGGCGACCAGAACCGGCCCAAGCACGCCACCAGAGCCAGCCCAATGCCATAAGTGCCACGCCTGCCACGCAAGACGAAGGTATACGTCGCCAAGTGCCACACCAGGTGGAAAACGAAAGATGGTGTGTAAAAGATGGTGTGTGAAAGATGGTGGTTGACAAAGATGTGTGTGAGAGATGGTGTGTGAGAGATGGTGTGTGAAAGATGGTGGTTGACAAAGATGTGTGTGAGAGATGGTGTGTGAAAGAGGGTGTGTGAAAGATGGTGTGTGAAAGATGATGGTTGACAAGGATGGTGTGTGAAAGATGTTTGTGAAGAGGAGGCGGCGGGAGGCGGGAGGAGGCGGGGAGGCGGGGAAGAACCCGGATACAGAATCAAAAACAAGAACCCCACACAAAGATGTGGGGGAAAAAAAGAAAAGAACAACATATTTTTAAAAGAAAAACTTCTAGAACAGTAAGCAAGTCTTTGGTTCGGACCAACGACTGACCCAACTTTTTGGGATAACGACTGGCGCTGAGCACCCCAAACGCAGCCCACCAGCATTTTGTCCAGCTCCTGCCTGTATTCGAAAGGGGGCGCCAGTCTGACAATCTATGCGGACATCAATGGGTTAACAATGGCTTAACGATGGGTTCATAATGGTTAATAATAGTTAGTGATGGTAAATAATGGTTGATAATTGCTTAATAATGCCTCATACTGGTTTAATGATGATCAGTAATGGTTAATAACGGCTTCTAATGGGATTATATAATTATAGCTACCCTCCGGTAATCAAACGTAGCTGGCCAGGAAATCCCCGAACTAAATGGAGGTCTAGAGCTGGGAAATAATCTATGAAGTAGAGAATTTTCTATTGCCACGTTTCATGGACACATCGGACGGTGTATGTATATATAGTGTATGTGTATATATATATATTATACCATGGATATAATGGGACAATAACTATCAATATTCCCAATGTGAAAATCTTGGGAAATATATAAACAAGATCCAATGGTTTATCGTCAAGGTCCCTATCAATGTGGAAGATCTCTTTGTCATCAATATCCTATTGAGATGCCAAGTCTGGGAATAATGGGAGTTTTCCGAATCTACTGAATCTACTCGGGATGTTGTAGCCTTGACATAACCAAAAAGGACCGGAAATGAGCACTTAAAGACTTAAAGGATCTTTCGGTTGCATACTTGGCGCACCGGTCACCCAAAACTTAGAATCAGTTTCATCGAAAACCTTGTGACAGAGAAAACAAAGTCTAGAATTTAGAGAATTGCAAAATGATGTCCCATCCAGCTTCTCCACATCACCCTTTGCCCCCAATGTTTCAGCCTTGGAAGTTGGGTCCCTGCGGTCATGGAGGCCGTAACAGTGATGGCCATGACTGCAGTGTTCGGCAAGATATCTGAGAAATCGATGGTTGTGAGATCCTGACAGCAGGGTGGGTTCAAAACACTGGGTCGCTGGAAAAATACACACACCTGAGCTGACTCACTGGGTTAGTTTCTTTGGGAACATAGGACAACCCCCATGTTTCACCATATCCAAATATGTGTTTCTGATATCATTTGCCTAGAAACCTCCTGAAACATCCTGAAACCAATTCTGGGACTGTCTCTTACCCTCTCAAAATTAACAGTTGGTACCAGGTTTCACTCAATTGTGGTGGTCCGAAAATACGATAATCCAAAATCGAGGGGGTTATCATCATCATCATCATCATCATAATCATCATCATCATCATCATCGTCATCTCATCGTCATCGTCATCATCGTCATCATCATCACCACCACGTTCATGTTCCCTATCAAAATTGAAAGTTTGGTGTATACCCCATTTCTGGACAGTCATTTTGGAAAGCGGCCCCATCCATTCCGACTACCGTGGTACAGCCTTGGTGTTTCCAATTCGCTGCACCACCTGCAGATAATCCAATGGGCTGGTCACGATGGACTCCAACCTGAGGCTGGTCCCTCCCACGTGATGAACAACCCATATTTGAGTGGAGTATATCAGTATTATCATGTATCCCATTTGTAACTGTGCTAAGATCGTTTGCAACCATTTACAACAGTTGAGGTTACATCAACTTAAATTTGCTGATGCGGGGCCCTTTAAAAATGATGTTTAAGAAAACTATCCAGTAGATTCTCGGTGTCTGGTGGGTCAACCAATGGGAAAAAGATTCCCATTTGACACCAGCTGCTGGTTTGAAAAGCCAAGGGACTCAGGGAACTTCTTGGAGTAGATATCTCGGACCTGGGATGAGATGGCGCAGATTCCTGGGTCAACGGCTGGATACATATGCAGATACACATGCATGTACACACACGTGCAGACTGCAGGTACACATACAAATATAATAATATACATATATATACAGTATACAGTTTATTATACTGACGGACTGAAAGTTAGAATGCCGCTCCATCTTTCCAAATATTTTTTTTGAACTTAGAATGCCGCGCAGCCTCGGACGGCGAACAGACAGTTAGAATGCTGACCCAAAATGTTTAGATTCAGATAGATAAAGATATACTGAAATGACGGATGGAGCATCATGGAGCATTCTAACTGTCTGTAGAACTAATTTAAGAAGGAATGTGGCATTCTAATTTTCAGTCCGTCGATATGTGTATGTATACTGTACATATCCAAAACATATCAATAATATATGTAGGTACGTGTCAAAAAAAAACATGGCCTCAGGGAACCTCATTGGGTGCAAGGTACATGGCCTGGCACTAGCATATTCTAGCATGGATGGGCGGGTTTGCATCATGTTTTCAAAAAAAACTTTCTATATATATATATATATATACTGTACATACCAAGTATATATTCCAGAAAAACACCAAGGAACGCTGAGGGAACGCATGGGTTGTGGGGTACAATTGTCTGCACAACCAAGTATATATAAATATATTCTCAAAAAGGTACATTCATATACCCAGAACCTCCAAATACCCTGAAAAATTGCTAAAACTATGAAAAATATGTGGTAAACTACCTTTTTTATGGTGACTTGGAGGGTCTAGGATATATATGCGTTTCTGCCTGGAAAAAAATATACCCTTGGAGGCATTCTAACTGTTGATTGCCGAATAGCTTCATCCTAGGTGGGGGGGGAGGCATTCTAGGTTCTGAAATGCTGGTAAAATGCAATTTTCCAGTTTTGCCGTTAAAAAAACACATATAAACATCTTTTCCAATCAGTGACAGTTACAGGCATTCCAGCTAGCGGCCCATCTAGGAGATAAAACAAAGGTATTTATCAATGATGGGGATCCTTTACTAAAGCCACATTCTAACTGTCTGTTCAACACCATTAGTGGCTGGGTGTGTCCTCTTTTCCCAGAAGCCTATCTACCCCAGGTATGTGTCCAAAATCGCAATTTTTTGTACGGGAAACTCACTTTTGTCAAGGTTATCGAATGGGGAAAGCGAGTAAAAGTACCCAGACCTGCAAAGTGCACAAAAAATAATGTGATATTCTCAAAAAGGTACATTCATATACCCAGAACCAAATACCCTGAAAAATTGCTAAAACTCTGAAAATTATGTGGTAAACTGCCTTTTTTTTATGGTGACTTGGAGGGTCTAGGATATATATGCGTTTCTGCCTGGAAAAAAATACCCTTGGAGGCATTCTAACTGTTGATTGCCGAATAGCTTCATCCTAGGTGGGGGGGGAGGCATTCTAGGTACTGACATGCTGGTAAAATGCAATTTTCCAGTTTTGCCGTTAAAAAAAAAACATATAAACATCTTTTCCAATCAGTGACAGTTGCAGGCATTCCAGCTAGCGGCCCATCTAGGAGATAAAACAAAGGTAATCAATGATGGGGATCCTTTACTAAAGCCACATTCTAACTGTCTGTTCAACACCATTAGTGGCTGGGTGTGTCCTCTTTTCCCAGAAGCCTATCTACCTCAGGTATGTGTCCAAAATCGCAATTTTTGTACGGGAAACTCACTTTTGTCAAGCTTATCGAATGGGGAAAGTGAGTAAAAGTACCCAGACCTGCAAAGTGCACAAAAAATAATGTGATATTCTCAAACAGGTACGTTCATATACCCAGAGCCTCCAAATACCCTAAACAATTGCTAAAACTATGAAAATTATGTGGTAAACTACCTTTTTTATGGTGACTTGGAGGGTCTAGCATATATATATATATGTCTGTGTGTGTGTTTCTGCCTGGAAAAAATATACCCTTGGAGACATTCCAACTGTTGATTGCCGAATAGGCTTCATCCTAGGTGGGGGGGGGGCATTCTAGGTTCTGAAATGCTGGTAAAATGCAATTTTCCAGTTTTGCCGTTTAAAAAAACATATAAACATCTTTTCCAATCAGTGACAGTTACAGGCATTCCAGCTAGCGGCCCATCTAGGAGATAAAACAAAGGTATTTATCAATGATGGGGATCCTTTACTAAAGCCACATTCTAACTGTCTGTTCAACACCATTAGTGCCAGAAGCCTATCTACCTCAGGTGTGTGTCCAAAATCGCAATTTTTGTACGGGAAACTCACTTTTGTCAAGGTTACCGAATGGGGAAAGCGAGTGAAAGTACCCAGACCTGCAAAGTGCACAAAAAATAATGTGATATTCTCAAAAATACATTCATATACCCAGAACCTCCAAATACCCTGAAAAATTGCTAAAACTATGAAAATTATGTGGTAAACTACCTTTTTTATGGTGACTTGGAGGGTCTAGGATATATATGTGTTTCTGCCTGGAAAAAAACATATGCCCTTGGAGGCATTCTAACTGTTGATTGCCAAATAGCTTCATCCTAGGTGGGGGGGAGGCATTCTAGGTTCTGAAATGCTGGTAAAATGCAATTTTCCAGTTTTGCCGTTTTAAAAAAACATATAAACATCTTTTCCAATCAGTGACAGTTACAGGCATTCCAGCTAGCGACCCATCTAGGAGATAAAACAAAGGTATTTATCAATGATGGGGATCCTTTACTAAAGCCAAATTCTAACTGTCTGTTCAACACCATTGGTGGCTGGGTGTGTCCTCTTTTCCCAGAAGCCTATCTACCTCAGGTATGTGTCCAAAATCGCAATTTTTGTACGGGAAACTCACTTTTTGTCAAGGTTATCGAATGGGGAAAGCGAGTAAAAGTACCCAGACCTGCAAAGTGCAAAAAAAATAATGTGATATTCTCAAAAAGGTACATTCATATACCCAGAACCTCCAAATACCCTGAAAAATTGCTAAAACTATAAAAATTATGTGGTAAACTACCTTTTTTATGGTGACTTGGAGGGTCTAGGATATATATATATATATATATGTGTGTGTGTGCGCGGTTCTGCCTGGACAAAAAAAAACTTGGAGGCATTCTAACTGTTGATTGCCGAATAGCTTCATCCTAGGTTGGGGGGAGGCATTCAAAGTTCTGAAATGCTGGTAAAATGCAATTTTCCAGTTTTGCCGTTTAAAAAAAACATATAAACATCTTTTCCAATCAGTGACAGTTACAGGCATTCCAGCTAGCGGCCCATCTAGGAGATAAAACAAAGGTATTTATCAATGATGGGGATCCTTTACTAAAGCCAAATTCTAACTGTCTGTTCAACACCATTGGTGGCTGGGTGTGTCCTCTTTTCCCAGAAGCCTATCTACCTCAGGTATGTGTCCAAAATCGCAATTTTTGTGCGGGAAACTCACTTTTGTCAAGGTTATCGAATGGGGAAAGCGAGTAAAAGTGCCTTTGGGCTGCCTGCTGGTTCATTGAAGCTTTTCATGGAATCTTTACCCAGACCTGCAAAATGCACAAAAAATAATGTGATATTCTCAAAAATACATTCATATACCCAGAACCTCCAAATACCCTGAAAAATTGCTAAAACTATGAAAATTATGTGGTAAACTACCTTTTTTATGGTGACTTGGAGGGTCTAGGATATATATGCGTTTCTGCCTGGAAAAAAACATGCCCTTGGAGGCATTCTAACTGTTGATTGCCGAATAGCTTCATCCTATAGGTGGGGGGGGAGGCATTCTAGGTTCTGAAATGCTGGTAAAATGCAATTTTCCAGTTTTGCCGTTAAAAAAAACATATAAACATCTTTTCCAATCAGTGACAGTTACAGGCATTCCAGCTAGCGGCCCATCTAGGAGATAAAACAAAGGTATTTATCAATGATGGGGATCCTTTACTAAAGCCACATTCTAACTGTCTGTTCAACACCATTAGTGGCTGGGTGTGTCCTCTTTTCCCAGAAGCCTATCTACCTCAGGTATGTGTCCAAAATCGCAATTTTTGTACCGGAAACTCACTTTTGTCAAGGTTATCGAATGGGGAAAGCGAGTAAAAGTACCCAGACCTGCAAAATGCACAAAAAATAATGTGATATTCTCAAACAGGTACATTCATATACCCAGAACCTCCAAATACCCTGAAAAAATTGCTAAAACTATGAAAATTATGTGGTAAACTACCTTTTTTATGGTGACTTGGAGGGTCTAGGATATATATATATATACATGTGTGTTTGTGTTTCTGCCTGGAAAAAAATATACCCTTGGAGGCATTCTAACTGCTGATTGCCGAATAGCTTCATCCTAGGTGGGGGGGAGGCATTCAAAGTTCTGAAATGCTGGTAAAATGTTTTCCAGTTTTGCCGTTTAAAAAAAACATATAAACATCTTTTCCAATCAGTGACAGTTACAGGCATTCCAGCTAGCGGCCCATCTAGGAGATAAAACAAAGGTATTTATCAATGATGGGGATCCTTTACTAAAGCCACATTCTAACTGTCTGTTCAACACCATTAGTGGCTGGGTGTGTCCTCTTTTCCCAGAAGCCTATCTACCTCAGGTATGTGTCCAAAATCGCAATTTTTGTGCGGGAAACTCACTTTTGTCAAGGTTATCGAATGGGGAAAGCGAGTAAAAGTGCCTTTGGGCTGCCTGCTGGTTCATTGAAACTTTTCATGGAATCTTTACCCAGACCTGCAAAATGCACAAAAAATAATGTGATATTCTCAAAAAGGTACATTCATATACCCAGAACCTCCAAATACCCTGAAAAATTGCTAAAACTATGAAAATGATGTGGTAAACTACCTTTTTTATGGTGACTTGGAGGGTCTAGGATATATATATGTTTCTGCCTGGAAAAAAATATACCCTTGGAGGCATTCTAACTGTTGATTGCCGAATAGCTTCGTCCTAGGTGGGGGGGAGGCATTCAAAGTTCTGAAATGCTGGTAAAATGCAATTTTCCAGTTTTGCACGTGTGGCCGAAATTTTCCAAATAGGCATTCTAACTTTCAGTCCGGCAGTATATATACATTCACATGCATGTACACCTGAGTTCGAAGTCCGATTGCACTCCGCAGTTGATGTTGATCCACTTAGATGCTGCTCCCAGGAATCATAGCTGGTTTAAATTCGTACTGACAGAGGATGGTGAGGGATTTCCTACCACTTGTCAAGTGGGATGTTCATCCAAGTATCCAAAAGTGTTGCCCCCAATGCTCCAAATACCTTCTAAGAAGGTAGTTTAGGCCCGAAAGTGTTTGGAGCTGTTGGGACTATGAAGAAATGTGAAAATCGCCACTTTGTCCTTAGAGGAAAAAAGGAACTCTGGTTGACATGGCTGGGCCCAGCGGCGAAGCGGTGGATGTTCATCATCTCGTCATCAATCTCTCTGACCAGAGAGTTACAACCTCGAATCACAGGTTCCACAAAATTGTATCAGCAAACTATTGACAAGACAATATCTAACCATGTACCTGTGTTGCTGCGGGACTGGTGAGACATTCTCCAAACCAAAACGGAGATTCAAAAGATGGAACAAAGTTTGGAGTGTGCAAACTAAGCTACGCTTTGGCTGCCAGCAGTCCCGCACCAAAAAGAAACACAAAGACTCAGAGACAAAAAGTCTGAGGAAAAATGGCTAATTTGGTTGGGTCCAGCCTGGTTTTTTTCAACGTCGAACTAGTTGGGGCCCAGACGGGTAATCAGCGGATACTCGGTATCCTCCTCGCTGAGCTGTTTGCCTGCAGCAAGACGATGCAAGTGTTTGTTGATTATATAATATGCGGGTTGTCGGAAAATGGTGGCTTCATCTGGATTTAACTACCAAAAATGGTAGCAATGACAATAGGTCGTAAAAACATTGTAAAAACCAAAAAGGGGTCGTACTTAGCTGGCTTGATTGGGGATGGGTCAAGACTCAAAAAATGAGTATATCCAATCGTAGTTCGAACTCACCATGAAAAATAGAACTCTCTGTGGGGTTCTTAAAATGCGTCCACAAGTCACTATGGGTTCCAATACTAAAGTGGTCATCCATGACTTGGATGATGACTGGGGTACCCCCAGATATCCACGGCTCCATGGTCGCCCCTTAGCGCAGCGCACCCAACTCCAGGGCCGGCTGTTCATCTTTGCGCTCGCGCACCTGCAGAAATCCCCACTTAACCACCTGGGGTCAAACCAAGCATTGCACGATTTCAGGAATTCACCACCAAGAATAAAATGGGCATAGCACCCCCATGATTTCATTCTTCATCCAAGAAAGGACCGGAGATGGTTGATGAAAATCCCCCAGCTGGAGACGAGAGTGCGGCAGATTGGCAGGTCACCAAAAGCTGCAAAAACCATACTGATCTAGCCCTCAAACTGGAATAGAGCTACAATGTTAAAGAATCATTAACAAAAACTAGACGACGGACGGCCCGAGAGCCTAGAGGAGCAAGTTACTCCGGTGTAAGTAAAAACACAATGTAATGAGTATGAAAGAAGTATGTGGTGTGAGTAGAAGAAAAGACGCTGATAGCGGGATATAGCGATGCTAATATGAAAGCTGAAGAGAAGCATTGAAACATGTGTACTGATACAGAACGACAGCAAGAAGATAAAAGGTGCTGCAAGACCAAGGATGTATGAAGGAGACTGGGTAGTAGGAAGGGAGTGAGGACGGAAAGAAAAAGTGGAGAAGATGTAAGATGTGAAGATGTAACACGGACGCCTTTACACACAGACGCTCTTACGCAGAAACGCTTTTACACAAAGACGCTTTTACATACACAGACGCCTTTACACACAGACACCTTCTACACACACTGCGGGAATTTGTGCTTTGTGTAGGAACGTTAGAGACTTGAGCTTGTCGACGCCTGGAATATCCTAAGTCACCTGGAGGATTGATGCAGCAAAATTGATCAAACTGGTCAAACTCAAACTGGAGGGTTGATGCAGCAATATTGATCAAACTGGAACAGCTTTGTCAACAGTTCAAGCCAAAGTGCAGGTACGTGTGCACGACATCATGGATGGGTCTTCGTTGGCCCGTGCCATCCATGAGCCCACGGGCCCCCTGCGAATGTCAAAAATGACCAATCGAACCAACTGACCGTTTGTTATAATGGTTTTCACACACACACACACACACCGGCCCCTCAGGGAAAACTTTTCTACGAGACGTGGCGAAACATCTGAGTGTGAGACATGAAACACCAACATTGAGCTAGAAAATAGATGTAGACATGACATTCAGCTGGTGCTATGAAATGCAAAGACTGAGCAACTGTCCAACTGTCAAGTGTTCAGAGTGAGGCAGTTTACTCACGTTTGTTATGGCAATCTGTTTCTTTCTAGTTTGTTCGTTTGTGTGTTTGTTCGGTTCACATCCTGAAACTACCACGGCTGAAGCAACTGAAGCTGAGGTTGGGGCCATAGTGAAGTGTTTCTTCTGCTCATGTTACACTCTAAGTGTAAACTGCTCCGACGGAAGTCCACTTCTGTCCACTAAGGGACTGCTACGGCCCAGCTAAAGGGGCTACTCCGCCATATGGCGACTTCATATTCGTGAGTTTTCTAAGAAACTACTTGCTCCATTCTGGTGAACAGCTCAGCTACATTCGAGATGTAGACAGCTCTGAAGATAGAATCTTCACTCTTGATATGGGAAAATGCCCGCTCATGACTTCATGCTCAGTCGAAACCGAGTCACGATGCAACCAACTGAGGTTAAGCACCGGGAACACACCGTGGGAATTTGTGATTTGTGTAGGAACGTTAGAGAGTTGAGCTTGTCGACTGGAATATCCTAAGTCACCTGGAGGATTGATGCAGCAAAATTGATCAAACTGGTCAAACTGGAGGATTGATGCTCATGGATGGGTCTTCGTTGGCCCGTGCCATCCATGAGCCCACGGGCCCCCTGCGAATGACAAAACGACCAATCGAACAACTGACAGTTTGTTATAACGGTTTTCACACACACACACGTTTTTACGCATACATTTTCACACAGACAGTTGTGCATTACAAACAGACACAGTGATGCTTTTACACACACACACTAACACTTTTACACACAGACGCTTTTACGCACAGACATACGCAGACGCTTTTACACACAGACGTTTTTACTCACAGACACTTTTACACACAGACGTTTTTACGCACAGACACTTTTACACACAGACGCTTCTACACACAGATGTCTTTACACACAGGCCCCTTTACACACAGACGCTTTTACACACAGGCCCCTTTACACACAGACGCTTTTACGCACAGACACTTCTACATACAAACGTTTTTACACAGAGACGCTTTTACACAGAGAAGAAACCTTTACGCACAGATGTTTTTACACACAGATGCCTTTACACACAGGCCGCTTTACACACAGACGCTTTTACACACAGACGTTTTTACTCACAGACACTTTTACACACAGACGTTTTTACGCACAGACACTTTTACACACAGACGTTTTTACGCACAGACACTTTTACACACAGACGCTTCTACACACAGATGTCTTTACACACAGGCCCCTTTACACACAGACGCTTTTACACACAGACACTTTTACATACAAAGGTTTTTTACACAGAGAAGCTTTTACACAAGACGCTTTTACACACAGATCCCTTTACAATCAGACACTTTTACAAACAGACCCTTTTACACACAGAAGCTTTTACACACAGACCCTTTTATACACAGACGTTTTTACACACAAACGCTTTTACACAAGGACGCTTTTACACAAGACGCTTTTACTCACAGACGCTGTTACACACAGACGCCTTTACACAGAAAAGCTTTTACACACAAAAGGTTTTGCACACAAAAGCTTTTACACACAGAACCCTTTACACACAGCCGCTTTTACACACAGACTCTTTTACACGCAAAAGCTTTTGCACACAAAAGCTTTTACACACAGAACCCTTTACACACAGACACTTTTACACACAGACGCCTTTACACACAGACGCTTTTACACACAGACGCTTTTACACACAGACACTTTGACACACAGACATTTTTACACACAGACGCTCATACACACAGAAGCTTTTACACACAGACACTTTTACACACAGAGCTTTTACACACAAGCACTTGTACACGGTCAGATACAGACGCTCATACACACAGAAGCTTTTACACACAGATGCTTTACACACAGAAGCTTTTACACACAGACGCTTTTACACACACAAGCTTTTACACGCACACACACACAAGCTTTTACACACAGATGCTTTTACACACAGACGCTTTTACACACAGAAGCTTTTTTACACACAGGACCCTTTACACACAGACACTTTTACACACAGACCCTTTAACAGGACCAACCAAATTCGCCAAAAACCTTCAGCTTTTCACACTCGAACCTCATTTCGTGCGAAAGGGTTGCCGCAGAAGATGTTAAATCGCAATTTTATTTCAGTTTTTGACGATCGAACCCCATTCCGTGCGAAAGGGTTGCGCGGGACAAGTTGCAATTTTACTTCAGTTTTTGACGATCGAACCTCGTTTCGTGCGAAAGGGTTGCGCGGGACAAGTTTTTTCGCAATTTTACCTCAGCTTTTGACGATCGAACCTCGTTTCGTGCGAAAGGGTTGCGCGGGACAAGTTTTTTTCGCAATTTTACCTCAGTTTTTGACGATCGAACCTCGTTTCGTGCGAAAGGGTTGCGCGGGACAAGCTGAAATCGCAATTTTACTTCAGTTTTTGACGATCGAACCTTGTTTCGTGCGAAAGGGTTGCGCGGGACAAGTTTTTTCGCAATTTTACCTCAGCTTTTGACGATCGAACCTCGTTTCGTGCGAAAGGGTTGCGCGGGACAAGTTTTTTCGCAATTTTACCTCAGCTTTTGACGATCGAACCTCGTTTCGTGCGAAAGGGTTGCGCGGGACAAGTTTTTTTCGCAATTTTACCTCAGTTTTTGTGTTTTTGGGGTGGGGGGGGGGTGGTTGGGGGGGTGGGGTTGGGGGGGGTTGTGTTTGATGGGGGGGGGGGTGAGTTGGGTTTTTTTTTTTTTTTTTTTTTTTTTTTGTTTTTTTTGTGTTTTTTTATGTTTTTTTTTTTTTTTTTTTTTTTTTTTTTTTTTTTGTTTTTTTTTTTTTTTTTTATTTTTTTATTTTTGTGGTTTGACGATCGAACCTCGTTTCGTGCGAAAGGGTTGCGCGGGACAAGTTGAAATCGCAATTTTACTTCAGTTTTTGGCGATCGAACCTCATTTCGCAAAAAGACCGTCAGTTTTTGACGATCGAACTTCATTTTGTGCGAAGGAGAGAGAGGGAGAGAGGGAGAGAGGGAGAGAGAGAGAGAGAGAGAGCGAGCCAGCCAGCCAGCCAGCCAGCAAGCAAGCAAGAGAGAGAGAGAGAGAGAGCAAGCAAGAGAGAGAGAGAGCAAGCAAGAGAGAGAGAGAGAGCAAGCAAGAGAGAGAGAGCAAGCAAGAGAGAGAGAGAGAGCAAACAAGAGAGACAGAGAGAGAGAGAGAGAGAGCAAGAGAGAGCAAGAGAGAGCAAGAGAGAGCAAGAGAGAGCAAGAGAGAGCAAGAGAGAGCAAGAGAGAGCAAGAGAGAGCAAGAGAGAGCAAGAGAGAGAGAGAGGGAGGGAGAGGGAGAGGGAGAGGGAGAGGGAGTGAAGATGGGAGTGAAGATGGGAAGATGGGAAGATGGGAAGATGTGAACATATGAAGATGTATCGCAGACCTCCACTATTCCACTATTAGAAGAACCCTTGGCTCAGACGCTCTCGGGAAAAACACGTGATGATTTTCCATGGATCGATTTGGTTTTGCTATGGCCCAAGGCCCCTTTCGGCCCAAGGCCCCTTTCTTGTTCCCTACGTTATCCTATATAGGGTTTTCCATGTTTTTCTCATGTTTTCCCTGTTGTTTTCCGACATCTGGGAGTAGGCATTGCCCACCAGCTATCACAAAAGCGCCTCATCCATGAGCTTCTGAAACTCGTCGTTTTTCAACATCTCAGAGACGCTGGAACCTCATGCTGAGAAAAATGAGGTCACCAAGGATGAAAAATTGGGAAGCTATGTTTATATTGTGTATAGATAGATCTGTCTATAGATATAGATAGAGATATGCAGCTATTGTGCAAATATGCAGATACACAGATGCGGATATACGGGTAGATCAATAGATAGAGAAATGCAAAGATACAGAGGTAGAGTGATAGAGACATAGAGAGATAGAGAGAGAGAGAGAGGAGGAGAAGAAGAAGAAGAAGCAGCAGCAGAAGAAGAAGAAGAAAGAGAGAGAGAGAGAAAGAAAGAAAGAAAGGAAGCGAGAGAGACAGAAAGAGAGAGAGAGAGAGATGGATCCATGGATGGATGGATGGATGGATGGGTGGATGGATGGATAGATAGATAGATAGGTAGATAAATAGATAGATAGATAGATAGATGGATAGATAGATAGATAGGTAGATAGGTAGATAGGTAAATAGATACAGTCATGCTACCTTTATAACGCACTAATTTGTCAACCGCATACATATTTCTGCAATGAATCACAGCAGCCTTGGGAATCCATACATTCCATGCTGAGCCCCAAAGGAATGAAAAGTCAAAGCGCATTGAAATAGCAGGAGGTCGGTCTTGGATCCCGATACACGGTGTACCTCTTCAGGTATGCCATGAACCCATGTTGACAGGTTCTGAACTCCCATGAAGAACTGGTTGAACATCTCCGAATTACTGCCATCCACCGTCTTTGCACTGAAGCTTCTGAAAGCTGTGCTCTTGTCAGTGCCCCAGTAGAAGGGCAAATGGATCCACGGCAATTCTCGGCACTGAGAGCAAAGCTGCCACTCTTTTCGTTGTTCATAAAGACCTGGAGCCAAGGGCACCGGGGATCAGAAGAGGTTACTGATAGTCAGGCACAGGGAGTTGACTTGTTCTGCGGCGTTTTCACCATCGCTCATCCCAAATCATCCTCTAAAAATGTCAGGTTTCACCCCTTTCCCTGTCCCAGCTCTGCGAATGAAAGTTTCCACCTGGATTGCATCCGGAATCTCATCCCCCTCTTCATCCTCCACCAGGGATGCCTTGGCAGGTCACCCCACGATCCCATGTGTGGAAATCTTATTCCCCATCTAAATCGTTACAAAATGAGGTTGCAGTATCCCCCATTTTGAGACAAAGCCATATGGGAAGATGATATGCGTTGACCCATCCCCTAAATGTATCTTTTGCAAAGTTGCAATGCTCAAATCCTTCTCCACTGGCAACGCTTTCTTTCCCTTCTTCGCCTGTCACGTGGCGCGCAGGGCCATAGAAGGCCCTTTGGACAGGTGAGATGAAACTAGAGTAACTAGATCCTATGGCTTTTTCCAAAAATCAGCGATGGGGCTCCAAATTCATGATCATCAAAGACTGGACATAAATTGAGGATCAACCATCAAATCTGTGATAACCTATTTTCAGACCCACACCCATTCACAGCACTGCCGCGTCCAAGAACAAGATCATCCAGTTTTCTGAGTTTTTTAGCAAATCATACCAGAAAGAGAAGTGGATTGGCGCCAAGGAGATATTTAAAAATGCATTTTGACTCCCGTCTCAGCCCATGGGTACCTTCTTCGCGGCTGGCCTCAGAAACAAAAACAGAAGTCCCAACTTGTTCGCGGTTGAGCCACGCATATCAAACATTCATCTATCAATTGGGATCATCATACTACTTTTTGGGATGGAAAGATAATAACGTCAATTAAAATAGCACTTGTAGTAACAATAAGGAGAAGAATAGTGATAATTATGTAAGCGGGTCAGAAAATATAATTGTAACAAATATAATAACAATAACGATTACAATGCTAGCAAAAATGCTAATAGTAGTAACAATAACAATATCAATTTTAGTAGCGTATGGTCGTGTAGTGGACCGTCTGGTAATCAAACATCGCAATGGAAAACCCACCATTTAGCTCGATGATTTTCCCAGCTATAAACCACCATTTAGTGGGGGGGGTCCAATTACCATGTTTGATTACCGGAGGGTATATGTATACATTAATAATAACAATAGTAGCAATAATTTTAGTAGTGTATGATTATGTGCATTATGTGTATGTGTAAATATATTTATATCTATATCTATATATTTATTTGTTTATCTATTATATATATATACATTTACACAATATCTATGTTTGCAACTTTCAACCAGCCAATCCCCAGCATCGGGCGACTCATCCGCTTCAGGATCTGGTTCCTCCAAATCCTCAAGATCCTGGGCGCCCGGTACGGTGCTGGTATGATGAATTCTTGGTGGTTTAATGTCCATTCAATGGTGATTGATTGGGACGATGATGTAATAATATGATCAAAGGAAGTTTAGGGGGAGAAACTTCCGTGTTACGGACTTTTAGAATGTCAGGGAAAGAGTTAGTCAAAGAAAGAGTTAGTGAGGGAAAGAGTTAGTCAAAGAAAGAGTTAGCAAAGAAACAGTTAGTCAGGGAAAGAGTTAGTCAAAGAAAGAGTTAGTGAGGGAAAGAGTTAGTCACAGAAAGAGTTAGCAAAGAAAGAGTTCGTCAGGGAAAGAGTTAGTCAAAGAAAGAGTTAGTCAAAGAAACAGTTAGTTAGGGAAAGAGTTAGTCAAAGAAAGAGTTAGTGAGGGAAAGAGTTAGTCAAAGAAAGAGTTAGTGAGGGAAAGAGTCAGTCAAAGAAAGAGTTAGTGAGGGAAAGAGGTAGTCAAAGAAAGAGTTAGTCAGGATATATGAGGTAGTCAAAGAAAGAGTTAGCAAAGAAACAAGTTAGTCAAAGAAAGAGTTAGTGAGGAAAAGAGTGAGTCAAAGAAAGAGTTAGCAAAGAAATTGTTCCCTCACTGTAAATGGGATTGCAAGTGGTGCTGGTGGAGGAGTTGCCGATGGAGTTTTGAAGGAAGTCTCGCACGAAATGCGTTTTTGAGAGATAGCAGATGCACGTTACCCTGTGTTTTTCCAGACAAAGTGCGTCCCCGAACGTCGATGATCTACCTCTGCGGTGCGACGGGTGCGAGACGGTCTCGTGTGTGGTCGGATCATTCTCGGATCATGTTCGGATCGGTTCCGCATTGTAAATGGGGTTTCACCTGTGTTTCGTGCATTTGCGGTCGACAGAATTCCATTGTGATTTGTAACTGTAGGATCGTTCCCGCAATGTAAATGGGATTGCAAGTGGTGCTGGTGGATGAGTTGCCGATGGAATTCCATTGTGATTTGCAAATCTAGGATCGTTCCCTCACTGTAAATGGGATTGCAAGTGGTGCTGGTGGAGGAGTTGGCGATGGAGTTTTGAAGGAAGTCTCGCACGAAATGCGTTTTTGAGAGATAGCAGATGCACGAAACCCTATGTTTTTCCATACAAAGTCCGTCCCCGAACCTCGATGATCTACCTCTGCGGTCCGACGGTTGCGAGACGGTCTCGTGTGTGGTCGGATCATTCTCGGATCATGCTCGGATCATGTTCGGATCGGTTCCGCATTGTAAATGGGGTTTCACCTGTGTTTCGTGCATTTGCGGTCGACAGAATTCCATTGTGATTTGCAACTGTAGGATCGTTCCCGCAATGTAAATGGGATTGCAAGTGGTGCTGGTGGACGAGTTGCCGATGGAATTCCATTGTGATTTGCAACTCTAGGATCGTTCCCTCACTGTAAATGGGATTGCAAGTGGTGCTGGTGGAGGAGTTGCCGATGGAGTTTTGAAGGAAGTCTCGCACGAAATGCGTTTTTTGAGAGATAGCAGATGCACGAAAGCCTATGTTTTTCCATACAAAGTTCGTCCCCGAACCTCGATGATCTACCTCTGCGGTGCGACGGGTGCGAGACGGTCTCGTGTGTGGTCGGATCGGTCTCGGATCGGTCTCGGATCGGTTCCGCATTGTAAATGGGGTTTCAAGTGTTTTTCGTGCATGTGCGGTCGACAGAATTCCATTGTGATTTGCAACTGTAGGATCGTTCCCGCAATGTAAATGGGATTGCAAGTGGTGCTGGTGGATGAGTTTCTGATGGAATTCCATTGTGATTTGCAACTCTAGGATCGTTCCCTCACTGTAAATGGGATTGCAAGTGGTGCTGGTGGAGGAGTTGCCGATGGAATTCCATTGTGCTTTGCAACTGTAGGATCGTTCCCGCAGTGTAAATGGCTGCGTCAAGGTTGCTTCGTGCTGTGGCTGCATTGGTAATACTATTATCTTTTGCAGCTGGATCTCGTAAATCGTACTGGAGTGGCTGCATGAAGGCTGCCACAGTGATTTGTCAGCAGATTTTCTCCATTTTGGCGCTAGTGATTTTCCTTCTAAAATCCTTTTAAAAAGTGCTTCAAAATCGTCTTTTTTTCGCTCTGGCGTCGAGATCCGGTTTTGGAGCTACAATTTCCGACGCCGTTGCGCGTAGTTCTATTGTGTTTTGCAACTCAATCTCTGCAGATCGCATTGTAATGGCTGCGTCAAGGTTGCTTCGTGCTGTGGCTGCATTGGTAATACTATTGTCTTTTGCAGCTGGATCTCGTAAATCGTATTGGAGTGGCTGCATGAAGGCTGCGACATGGATTTGTTAGCAGATTTTCTCCATTTTGGCGCTAATGATTTTCCTTCTAAAAATCCTTTTAAAAAGTGCTTCAAAATCGTCTTTTTTTTGCTCTGGCGTCGAGATCCGGTTTTGGAGCTACAATTTCCGACGCCGTTGCGCGTAGTTCTATTGTGTTTTGCAACTCAGTCTCTGCAGATCGCATTGTAATGGCTGCGTCAAGGTTGCTTCGTGCTGTGGCTGCATTCATAATACTATTGTCTTTTGCAGCTGGATCTCGGAAATTGTCTTGGAGTGGCTGCATGAAGGCTGCGAAATGGGTTTGTTAGCAGATTTTCTCCATTTTGGCACTATTGTTTTTTTGTTGGACGTACGTTTAGAGCAGTGTGAAGTGTGGGGCGTGAAGAGTGCAGTGTGAAGTGTGAAGTGTGAAGGAAGCAGTGGGAAGTGAGAAGTGTGAAGTGTGGAGTGTGAAGTTTCAGTTTGGAGTGCGAAGAGCGCAGTGTGAAGTGTGAAGTGTGAAGAGTTTGGAGTGTGAAGGAAGCAGTGTGAAGTGTGAAGTGTGAAGTGTGGAGTGTGAAGTTTGAAGTTTGGAGTGCGAAGAGTGCAGTGTGAAGTGTGGAGTGTGAAGACTTTGCTTCGTCTCTCGCTGAAAAAAAAACCGCTTGTCGAGGGAAGGACACGGTCGGGACCGGTTGTCTTTGAACTATGGGTCATTTATGTTTGGGAAACTTCCGCCGCCGGCTTGCCCGGGTCTATGCTAATGATGAATATATAGAATCAGGTTGATATGTGCATGCCCCCCCGCTTAAGGGGGGGAGGGGGTGGGCCCCCCTTAACACTAACTATATTTAAACAGACGTCCCCCAAACATTGGTGTTTGCAGGCCTAAAATTCTGAGGATTTAGATGGATTTAGACATCATAGTGGGCGGTGGTGGCAAAGAGTAAGCGAAATTGTGGTTGAGCCTCAAATTTTGGCAGCTTGAAAATTTCCGAAATGTTCAAGTCAGATGGGATGAATGGGAAGAATGGCCAACAATAGTGGGAAACCAGTGGGAATGTAATTGATATAGTTGGTGGAGATATGATATATGTGACATGTGATCAAAGGAAGTTTAGTAGTCTAAACTCCGTGTTACGAAATTTTGACAATGTGGACAACAATCAATAACCAAGACAATAAATAATCACAACAAGTAGAGATGGAGAGAGTAGGGAAGAGGGAAGATTAGAGATGGAGAGAGTAGAGATTGTAGATGGAGAGAGTAGGGGCGTGACAGAGTAAAGAGGTGGTCGACGCAGTTGTAATGTGATTTGCAAGGCAGTGAGCGCAGATCGCAATGGAATTGCTGCGTCAAGGTGATGTTTGGACGTTAGAAATCGCACGAAACCTTTTGTTTTCTCGCATAAAGTGGCTCCCGGCGTCGATGGGGGGGAACCTGGTTTGTGCGACGGGTGCGGCTTCTACTTCGTTTGGTGCTCGAGTGGTCCCCATTGTCAGCGCTGCGCGGAGGTGATCTTTCAAAGATTCAATGCGCTGTGCCATTAGTGTTTGGTGATCCAGGCTTGCAGTTTGCATTGGAATGGCTGCAGCGACAGGTCGTCAAGGTGATGTTTGGGCGTTAGAAACTGCACAAAACCCTGTTTTCTCGCATAAAGTGGCTCCCGGCGTCGAT